TGGTTATTAAATGAAAGAGAAGATTCTGTATAGTTAAAACATATTATATTTTTAGGTGCGTGAGGGCAGGTAGGTATTGGATATACCCTTTTATAATTTTATTCTTGCAATTTTTATAATAATAATAATAATACAATATAAATTTATTTACTGTCTTTCGTTTTGTTACTTAAGAAATAATTTCCACTTTACAAACAGATTTACTTATTATTTATTATATGGCAGGAGAGCTTCTCAAACCATATTGATGCAGTTTTTTCATTACGAAAAAAAAGTTTACAGTATGTCAGTTTTATTTGAACACTTATTTGAGACACCCGCTATGCTCAATTTTGTGCTTAAAAAATTATTCTTACACCCAAGACTTTTTCTCGATATGGCTAATTCCACGGTGACAGTTGTAACATTCCAACTCACATTTTAAGGATTAATTCTTAAACTGCAATACAAAATTCTTTGAAATGAGTATTTTTCAATAGGTTTCCGAGGTATACACAATGCTAATAAAAAAATATTCAAAAACATTTGAATCCAAACGAGTTATATGAATTTTAGTCACTGTGACGGGTGTGACGAGTACGCAAACTAAATTAGCTACTATTTACTTGTATCAGAGTTTTTCTGCTAATTATGTCGTCTGCTTATGGTTTTAAATAAATCGTTGTATAGTTAAAGAACAATTTTCATCATTTACGCTAAAGTTGCTTACCTCTATTGGAAATTATAGATTATACATATGTTCCAAATTCAAATGTGACGGATGTGATTGACTTTGTGACGGGTGTGACAAGTTGAGCATGAATACATAAATACACATTATTAGATAACTAAACTACATAACTTTATTTCTCAAAAAATCTGATTTTACGAACACACATGATCGGAGTCTTAGGGCTGGTTTCTCCAACTCAACTTAACTTAGTCAAGCCAAATTTCTTGACTTAGTCAAGAATAAGCTGTGTTAAACGTAGGCTAACTTTTGACTTAAGTCCGAAAAGTGGCTAAACTAAGTTAAGTTGAGTTGGAGAAACCAGCCCTTAATCTCCATCTCCATACTGTTTTTGCACTGAGAAGTGAAGTAATGGTTTCTTTTTATCCGTGACAGCATAGCTTAAATTTTCCCATCACTCGAGCAACATATCTTTATGATTAGCTTTATCAGCGCTGATCACAAACAGATACATGACACATTTCATATTAGCAAATAAGTAACGGTAGCAGTCCCTGGTCGAATTTATTGATATATGTTAAATTTTAAATTGTGATGGGTGTGACATCAGATGGGCGTGACCAACATAATCTCGTCTTTTTACGAAAATAAAAGCATATATGAGCGTTTAAATGATGCAAGAAAGAAAATAGACTACGAAAGTCAGTATTCTCAAGTAGCACACTGGTATATAACTTGGTGTAAATTTGTGAATTTTGGTACAATTAATAAAATTTGTACTAAAATTCGTAAATTTACACCAGGTTATCTGATTTGAGTTTGCAAATGGTACGACCTAAAGTATAAAAATATCTGATTTTGATATAAATTTCGAAATTTTGGGGTTCAGTCTTGAAATTTAGATTTATATACTCTTACTTACTAGAAATAATACACTCAAATTCCTAAGTTTATTTTCGTTTCATTCGGTACCGATTACCGTGGAATGAGCCATATTCATACATACATACCTAAGTGTTCAAATAAAATTGATACACACTCAACTTTTTTCTTTCTTATACTTATACGTTGGATCTTGTTGAAGGGCTGCCTTATCGTTGCCAGAGTAGTCCTGGATACCCATGCTACTGCCCCATAGGTTACTATTGGTCGTACTATCATTGTGTGCATACATCTTAAAACTCTTGAAGTGCACCCCTATGAAGTTTGCAAACCAACAGCTCTTTCGTAGCCTTGGAGGTGGTTGCCTTAATATGAGTGTTTAGAGTTCAGGATAAGAGACAGTTCGAAAGAGTCTATTTCCCACCGTAAATGCTAGAGAAGAATCGCTGTTAACTTCGTAAACGCAATCGACGAACTTAAGATAGCTGCCAGCGCACTAAATAATATCCTGCTGGAATCCTTCTACGACAGCACAGCTCCCGATTCCTCCTTGAAGAAACGTGGAGGCAAAAATGCGAGTCAATAGAGACACTGGACGAGACCTCCCAACTACATAAAATTATGTCGAAGGAGCCTTCGAATGTGATAGGACTCTTACAAATGCACGATGGCACCTTCACGAATAGCAAGGGTGAATCTCTATAATACCTCTTTCAAGTGCATTTCTCAGGCCCTTGGGTAGAGAAAGATCGCACGACTCCTATCTCTTGTGAACATAAGTTCCCCTGGGTTAGAAGTTTAGCAGTTCTGGCTCCATCTTTGACAGGGACAAGGTACTGTGTGCGGTAGGGTCCTTTGAACCTGCAGGCGGAGATGGCGTATATCCGGCACTAATTCAGAGATGCCTTGATGTTAACATCGATTCACTGGTCAGTTTATTTAGGGCCAAAAGGTATCCGTCTTATTTATTTCTAAATCGTACAGAAGCATTAGTTTTACTTCCTTCATCTTAAAAGCCGTCGAAAGACTGCAAGACCTAGGATAAGCTGAGACACGCAACTCCATTATACAACACTCAGTTTGCGTAAGTCAAAGGAAAATCGACAGATTCGGCCCAACAGTATTTGGTTGATAAAATTTAAAGGGTCCTCGATTTAAGGAGGTTGCTTTTATGCTTTCCTGGACGTCTACCTCAAGGACACTGGTCCAACGATGCATAGTAACAGCTCCGTGAACATCAGAGCCATAAAAGGGTGCCCACAGGGAGGTGTATTTTTTTCCTCAACTCTTGTCTCTCGTCGGGGATGACCTCTTAACAAAACTGCAGAAAAGTGATTACGAAGCTGTTGGTTATGCGGACGACCTGGTAATTATTGTGACGGGAAAATGCAGCAATACTGTATCAGACGTTATGAGTACAGCTCTGCGCATGGTATCAAATGGGTGTGCTAATGAGGCTGCATAAACTCGCAAAAGGCTGTTCTGGTACCGTTTACAAGAAGGTACAAACCAAACAATGGTTCGGTTACCGTTGGTGAAACAGTGTTTAAATTCTCTAACGAAGTCAAATATCTCGGTGTTACCTTGGATAAGAGACTCCGTTTGAATTCCCATTTAGACAAAACTCTTAGCAAAGCCACCTGAGCCATGTGGGCCTGACGAAGACTTTTCGGTCGAACATGGGGTCTAAATTCCAAACTAATAGAATGGCTATACCGAACTTATAGTTCGTCTGATTGTAACCTATGCCTTTATAATCTGGTTTCACGTCTGAACAAACCCCAAAGAATGGCTCTACTATCGGCGACAGGAGCAATGAGACCATGTCCAACTGCGGCCTTAGAATCGCTGCTAGGCTGGACGCCATTCCACATTTTTTTCCAAGCAGCAGCAGCTTCGAGGAATTTGCAAGTGCAAAATTCTGACAGTACTTTTAAAAACAAAACACAACACAAAGGTATTTTGAGCAAAATTTGATACCCATATTGTAATAATTTACTTATCTTCTCAATATAATTGGGTTTAAAAATTTTCAGATACATAGCTGGCAAGCCTCCAATTTGCGATAGCATTGGTCATGGCATTATAGCAGGGATGAAAAATTGAAATTTCATAATACTTACCCCTTACTTTTTCCTGTTATTTTCTTTTAGTTAGCGCATTTTGCTTACGCTTTTGATTTTTTAACACTTTTCAGGTTGCGTGGCGTAGAACTACACAAAAAATTCAACTTTTTTCATTCTCTTGTTCTTGCGTGACCCTGTGTCGAAAGTTCACGAATCGAACCTAACGGCCTGGTCTTCACATGCTTGAAAATCTCGCTTGTGTTCTGCTTTTTTCTGTCGCAAGCGTGATAGTTTTGTTGGCGGGGTATTTGACAGCATACTTTTTCGTTTGGTGAATGTCACCAAAAATGAAGGTTCGAGCTTTTCCGGCGAAATTTTGTTATTTCCACCAAAATAAATGATGATTCTACTCTGAAGAATTCTGCGAAATAAGAAAATACCTGTCAAACACAAAAATAGGTTTGTATAGTAACCAATAGTCAGTACTAATTTGTACTAGCCGTGGGTAACACAGTGCGGCGCCGCGCCATTGCGCTGATACCGAGAGCTGAGTTACTGGCGCCGATACCGATTTTCACAACTCTGTGGCGCAATGGCGCCAGCAACACCGGAACCAGGAAAGAACCAGCAAAGAACACACAAAAGCGGAGTGTCACTTGTAAAATGTGCAGCACAAGGCGAATTTTTACAAGGTGTTGTTGCTAAAATTAGCCGCGGTCCTTCTGNCTAATTTGTACTGGAACCTGCAAATTTTTACTGGAAAAGTGTATGATAACCCAAAAAATTTGCAAGAGAGCACTGTATCGAGAGCGTAACAACACGCGAGAGCTGCAAATTCTTGCTAGTGAAAATTTTACTAGCAGAAATTAGCTAGCAGAAGAAGAAGAAGAATAGAAGTCAAAAGCCGCCATTTGTTGAATCGGGTTAGCACAAACAAAAGTAAAATGAGTGGGAATCAAAATATTCATGATGTACTGGGCAGTGTAAGTGCTTGTGTGTGAAGAAAAGAGTTTAAAACTGATTTATAAATAGTAAAATGTTAACAGCAGAATGTCAAGACAGTGCAACCACTATTCACTTGCAAGTTTTTGCTAGTTTTGTGTTCATTAACTTTTTCTGCTAGTTTTCTCTTCTTCTCAATTTTTCGCTCTATTTTGATTTTACGCTCTCGCTGCAATGTTTTACTGGAGAAGTTACTATACAAACCTAATGATAGTTGAAAGCATGCGAGAGCTCGGTATGCTTCGTACTCATTCGGCCTACACGTGCGTGATCATGCTTACGTGACGTGAAGACGGCCGGTAAATAATTTCTTTAACCGTGAAACCCTGGAAGACATGTTCGATTTTTACTTTAAAGTAAGTTTAATGGGCAAATGACAATCAGCTGTTTCAGGCGGTTTGTTTTGATTTTATCAACCATTTTAACTATGGAGGACGCTGGAAATATGAATGGCAAGTTAATAATAGTAAAATATTGTAAATGTTTAATAAATTATTAAGGTTTTTTATTTCAAGCAGCTCCAAAATCAAAAAGGAAGCGGCTGGCATGGACTGAGCATGGCGAGGTGGCTCTGCTAGATTTGTGGGAAGAGCGCGTGGTGGACCTTCGTAGTTCGCGCAAAACCGGCCACATATATGCCCAAATAGCAGCCGAGCTGGCCAAGCTTGGCCATAAATATAGTGCGCGGGATATCCAAGTAAAATTGGCAAATTTTACTCAGCGTTACAGGTAAGAAAGACCTATTTAAAATGATACGGTAAAATATCATACATAAATCTTTGCCAGGAAAGAGAAAGCGACGATGGGTGTATCGCCATCCTCTTGGCCATTTTATGGAAGGGTACACCAGATCATCGGGGGTTATAAATCAAATTTGTGTAGCGAGTTGACTCTGGAAACTCTTGAAAGTATGTACATCTGTATGTTTTTGTAATTTAGATCTTGCATATGATTTAATTATTTAAGGTCTTGTAAGTAACTTTTTTCTAAAATTTGACATAGCGATGTTTATTGGAAGCAGAAAAAAAGGGGAAGAATTCAATTCCACTTCCTAAAAAGGTAGCCAAATATATATAGCTAGCTTATAATAGAAAGTTGCCAACTCCCATTTTAAAAATTTTACAGGAGAGGAAAAAACTTATAGCCATTTTCTTCAAGTAAATCAAAAACTTTGAATGCAATATTTTGCCTGTTCAAACAAAAGAAAACTCCAAAAGAATCAGAATCGATTCGATCTTTATTAAAATATTTCGCACTGTTTTGGCCTTATCGAATTTTTGGTGGTTCGGATGAAACAGAAACCTATATACTTTTCAAAACAATTGCATTTTATTAAATTACTCTATCCTCCTGTATCAAAATATGAGTTTCCATAAAAATTGGACTTAACAACTTTTCACTCTAAGCTAGCTATATGTGAGAAATAATTTTAACTAGCTGCATATGGATGTTGATATTTACGAAAGTTGCGTGCGTCGGACCGCGCATAACTCGCGAATGGAGGTCAACTTTGAGCTGTTTTTTGTTGCGTTTGTTTGTAGAGTCCGACCGATTCCATTTTTTTTTTTCAGTTACCAATGCCGATTAATCGGCTTGTGGGGAAAGAATCGGCCGATGCCGATGCCATAAAAAATTACAAATAAATGTATGGGTGCGTTCAAAAATTGATAGAAATGTCAAATATGCGCATCCACGGTTATAAGCCGAATTGGAACTTAGTTGCGTAAATAAGACATTTCCATCAATTATAGTTTAGAAATAAAAGATACTGATATTTTGGCTTGATGCATTTCTGAACGCACCCTATCAATTCATAAACTCAGTTAATTTAACGGAATTACCAAACAAAAGAAAACAAATAAAGAATTAATTGGCTCGTTATGCAACATTGCATACACATGTATGTACATATATCACATTTATGTACATTACATAAAACACTTTATATGGTGCTAATCAAGACATATTAGGAGCATAAAATTTAATTTTGTTTGGTACTAAAATACACTCTTTAGCACTCAATGCATAAGAACTTATATGCTACGTATGTATGTATATACATATAGTGGTCCATAAAATAAAATAATTGCGATATTTTGGCCGGTTTTTGCATTTGTCTTTGGTTTATTATTTTCTTTTCATAAAAGGCCGATGCCTATGCTCAACTTTGTGCCGATACTAGGGGATGCCGATTCGGATTAATCGGTCGAACCCTATTTGTTTGGCTTTTAAATCCTTAGCGGTGCCATTTACAGTTGCAAGACATGAAACAGTTAATCGTACGACTAATACAACAATGCGATCTACGTCGTAAAGTTGGAAGCGTCGTCAATGTTCAATTACATCGCACGATTTCCAGTCTGAATTTCGTCTTTTAGTCTTTATTGGATTTCTGGTGACCAACGATACTCACCCAATTTGTCTTGCTATGCTAAACTAGAGCGAGGCAGAGTCTTACTTACAAAACCTTTAATTATTAATTCATAGATCTTGCAGTTTAATAGTAGACAATGAGACCATATAAGTCTTAAATTCAAACTTCATAGAAAAATTCAACATTTTATAACAAACTTTTTATTGAAAACTTTATTAAAAATTTTAAGTATGCAGTTTTGTAGCCCATTAAATTCCAGCTTGATGAGTGAAAGTTTCGAGCGGCTAAGGATTCGCGATAATTTTTGATAATTTTTTGCCGATTGTATTATTTTGTCCATGCAAAAAAAAAATCGAACATACTTCGTAAGGAAGAAAATGCGTGACACCGTCAGGAAAAAAATACAGAAAATCAGATCGATTTCTTACCCACTTGAAACTTTGACATTATTTTATTTAATGGACTATAAAACTGCATAATTGGAATATTTCTAAAACTTCATTATTAAGAGGTTGTGTGTTATTAAAATTTTCTAATTTTTCTACAAAGTTTGAAATTTAGACTTATATGGTTTTAGCTGCATTACAAACAAAAGATAAATAGCCAAAACTATTTAACATGTCGTGTCACTATTATTTTTCACATGACTGTATATGCGTATTCAATTTAAAATGACACTATTGTTTTTCTTTTAAATAGCTTGCGATTTGGAAATAAAGCAATCGCCGCCTAACTCTTTGCCGTCACCGCCGGATCCCCTGCCATCACCGAATTATCTGTTACCATCGCCGAATTATCCGCCGCCATCACCGAATAAGCCGCTGTCACCGCGGTCATCGTTAGCATCGCCATTGCTCACACCGCTACCCAAGCCTTCGTCGCCATTGAATGAGCTGCCAAGCACATCTGGTTGTGAACCGCAAACTAGAAAGAGAAAGAACAGAGATTATTTTTTTAACAAAGTATTGGAAAATTTTGAAGAGGTTTCAAGAGAGATAAGACAACATTTTAAAGATAGTAAAGAATGTGAAAAAGAGTTTGTGGCCATTGAGAAGGAGAAGTTAGAGGCTTTGAAAGATATTAGCAAAGCTAACATGGAATTGAAAGATGCTTTCATTAGTTTTTTGAACAGATAATACTACAATTATTTTATTATTAGTTTGTAAAAAGGAGTGGCTCAGCTTAAATCGTGCCTCCAAAAAAATTTCACCTATTCTTCAACTCTCGTATTTGGATTTTGGTACGAATTGTAGAAATATATAGTATGTTGCAATCCGAATCGTATTTTCGAACTTTCGAAATTCGTAACAATGACATGCTTAAAAACGAACGAGTAAGAAATTGACAGTGTTTATGCGAAAACCAATCCGTGTCGGAAGCGAGATAAAAGATATAATTCGATGTGCGTTTGCAGGAAATATTAGTGGTTTTCTTTTAAACAGACAAATGTTCCTTCCCGATGTACGTATGTTTTTTACCATTGCTCTATATGAACGAACAAAAAATTACGTTTGTTGCCCCTTATCGAGCAACTTGGGTCCGGTTTAGTTATTTGTACAATGATTTTCTGTTGTTGTGTCCAAACGCATAACCCGATTCTAAAAACATACACGTGTAAAGAAAGGATTAAACTCTACACCCCTTTTCTACAACTCTTTTGTATTCGGATTTAGCTACGAATTGTAGAAAAAGACCTCTTTGCGAGTGTCAACCAGTGTTCCCATTTTGGTGCTTTTGGAACTAGACTTAGCTATTTATTTTTCTATTTAGCTCCGAAAAGCGGATTTTAGCTCCTAGCTCCTTTTTTTAGTTATTTTCAAATTTATCTAGCACTTTTTAGCTGCAGAAAGTATTAAGTTGTATTTGGTATATATAAGCCAAAACTTAAGCGTTGATAAACTGGAAAATTTCGAGATGCAGTGTATCCACCATAAACTCTTGGATCTAGGTTAAAGAATTCAAAAATTAATTAAAAAAATCCTTTTTCCGATAGCGAGGTTTTTATTTTACCTTACTAATTTTACCTTTACAGGTCTATTCTGCGATGGTAACATAAATTAGGTAACCGGTAATTAAAGTGTTTTTAAACCTTTTTCGCATTCCGTGCGCTCTTGTAACTGGTAAATTTGGTTACCATCTCATGAGCTGGTAACAAAATATTGCCCCGTGAACTATGCAGCACAAGAATTTCCACAAATTTCCATAGCTGAACTGCTGAATATTTTCACTGCATTACCAACGTACCTATAATCGCGGTGACATTTTTTGGTAATACAACTTTCCGGTCACAAAATCTTTTTTTAGAAATGTTTCGGGTATGCCGTGTACCTTTGAGTAAAATTGAATGGGCTACAAAACTGTTATATTTCTAAGTTGAAAATTTTTATGAAATAAAAATTATTATGATATTAAATGGAAATGTTGCCGAATTTCCCTAGTTTTTTAAAAAGTTAGGAATTTTAATAATTAAATAAAAATAAAAAAATTATTCAGCATGAAAAACTTTGAGAATACATATATAGAGCCCTAAACGCCAAAAAAATGTAAGCGAACTTTTTTTCAAAATTTTAATTTTCATGCAGAAATGCATCTAGATGCTCTGGGTACATTTCTATATCAAAACGAAAATTTTGGAAAAATGTCGCTAACATCTTTTTGGGTTAGGGCTCCGCATATTAAAACATAATTTTTTTTTAGGTGCACGTTTAAAGCTCCGAGCCACTGTATGACTGATTAGTTTTATGAAATGAATGAAGTAAATTTGTTTATTAGTTTAAAAAAGTAAATAAATTTGTTTACTTACAATAGTGACATAACGCTTGTCTTATTATTTCAGCAGAAGGTTCGTTGTCACCAACTATAAGAGTATCTGTGGGGTTTTGTCGATGTCGGTCCATTTCTTGTAATCTTTCTAGCCACGCATCATTAATAACATCGTTCCTTTCGTTCAAGAAATTATGTAAAATGCAGCAAGCTCTTATAATTATTGATGCATTTCCTATTCGGTTATCTATACCCTTTCCAATACGTTGAAAACGAGCTTTTAAATGGCCAAAAGCATTTTCTACCACTCTTCGGGATTTTGACAATTTGTAATTGAAGAGCTTTTGACTTTCTGTTAAGGCCGTGGAAAAAGCATATGGTTTCATTAAAAAGGTGGAAAATCGGAACGCAGAGTCCCCTAAAATACAAATAGGTATTTCCACACCACATATATATTTTTTATTGGTCGTTAATATTTCATTCTGCGTCAATAACTGCTTTAGTAGCGATGTATCGAATATTTGTGAATCGTTGCAACTTCCTGGTGCACCTATGTTAACATATAAGAAACGGTATCTATATATATATAGGAGAATAAAATATATTAGGTGTATTCTCGAGGTCTGGCAATGCCCTTGCACGGTTCACGGATTGCACTGTTTGCAAAGCTGCCCCATAGGAAAACCTGATTACTGTGCCATCCGTGCACCGAGCAAGGGCTATGCAAGACCTACCCTATGGCTATAAATTAAAAGAAAAAACGGAGTATTTAACCTGTAATCAACTAGAGCTAATAGTACAATGGAATACCATCCTTTGATGTTACAGTAATCGTTTGCTTCTGTTGGATTCGGTTTTATTTCAATGTGGCAACCACCTAAAAATATATATGATAAAATTATATATTTATATATGTATGCCATTAGTATTTTTATACTGCATAAATTTTCAATTTACCAATGGCTCCTAGACATTGTGGGAAGCCAAGTCGAGAAAAGCCTTCAACATATTCAGCGAGAGTTTCGTTCGTCGGAGGCAACTTCTTTATGTACTGTGTCGACATTGCTGGCCACACTTCTTTGCAGAACTCTAATAAAATAGTGCACACGGTTGATTTCCCAACTCCAAATAGCTCGGAAACTACCCTGTATTCTACAGAGGACCCAAGAGCAAACAAAGCGATTGCTATCCGTTTTGGTAATGGAATCGCTCTGCGGCACGCTGTGTCGGCTCTTTTCAAATTTCTAAGCAAGCTGCAAAGTATTTCAAAACTGGCGCGTGTCATGCGCAAGTGACTCTTAAAGTAGTCATCACTGCTGTCGTAAATAATTTCCCAGAATTGAGATTCCCGATCCTGTAATAAAAAGATTATTTGATTTTAAGACAGAAAATGCAACAATTCAATTTACCAATTTCCACAAAGATCTTTGAGTAGCGTTTTGCTGCAACAATCCAAGAAGAAAAATTTGCCGTTTCCTTAAATGTTGCAAAACCATCAATTTTCGCTTCTTTCTCCTCCTGTATAGGGCTAGATTGTAATCAAAACTAGATTGCGTTAACTCAAAAAGTTGCATATTTGCAGTGTACGCTAAAAGTAGTGTTTTTAAGGTCGACATCTCTTCCATTTTCAAAAAATTCACAAATGCAAGTTTTATAGCCCGAACACAATGAAAACGACGAGCTACAAACCACAGCTGTCAAATTACTTTAACCGTACTCTTATGTAGATAATTATTTTGGCGACGACCGGGCTACGCGACGGCTGTGGTTGTGGCCAGATTAGATCTATTTCTATTTTTCTGGCGACAGATAAGGTTCTTCCTCTTCTTTTATGTCAAACTCATACAAATTCATGATGTCGCTGCCGCGTTCAAAGAAATCATGTCGCCATCGACAAAGCGCTTAGATAATAAAGATGACAAATTGGAAGCTGTGGTCGGTAGCTCGTCGTTTTCAATGTGTTCAGAACTTTAATAAACAAAACCAAAATCAGCTGCGAATAGATAATTGAGCTAGCTTTGGTACGTGCTAGGAATGTTCAATATCGTATCGATTATTCTGAATATCGATTTTAATGGCACGTTAATCGATTTTTTAATCGATATTCCAAGGTCGATATATCGAAGACATCGATACTTTACCCGCAATATCGATATTTATGTTGAAATTTATTTTTGATCTACAAAAAAGTGTATGGGAAAATACTAAAGTATTTAGCTCTTAAAATTGACAAACCGCAGTAAATATATAGAAGATGGAAATAACACAATTAGGTGAGTTGACAGGCAGGTCTAAAACGATGTTTCCACGACAAGTGATTCGCTCTCCCATTCGTAATTCGCTCTCTCATTCGTGATTGGCGCCCCAATTAACAACCGAATCACTTAATGCGCCATACAAAATTTTGAGAGCGAATCACTTCATTCGTAGGTGATTCAGATCCAATCAACATCAAATCGTTGTCTTCTCTAATTTTTATCGATAACGGCTCTCAAAACACATGGGCCACACACATCCCCACCAGCACAAACATTGAAAAAATAGCTAGATTCGTTAAAACTATTGATTTAGCTAATTAAGCACTCCAAATTTTTTTCTCCACCGTTGAAATGCCCAATAAACAGCACATTAAACATCAAACCAAAGCGAAGAACAAGAAGCAGAGATGCAAAGTGAATCACGAATGTGTCGTGTAAACAGGTTGATTTGCCGTTCATAATTGGGAGAGCGAACCACGTGATTCGGTTGGCGTGGAACGCCGTTTAATATTCTATTTAATTGGGAGTAGATTTTTCCGATATCGATATTGTTCAGCCCGATATATCGCCATATCGATTTTACATACAATGAATTAAATCGATTCATGATATCGATACTTTCTTAAATATCGAACATTCCTAGTATGTGCACAGTATATACAGTGATAAACGTTTTTGAGTACTCCTCGGGGGTAAAATCTGATCAGGGTTGATAATAATAAGGAGCATGAATTTTGCCGATTCAGAGTTGCAAACAAATTTACTGTGGTATGAAAGGGACCAACAAAACTGATTCATAAATAGTAAAATAGCAGTATGTCAAAACAGTACAAAAACTGTTCACTTACAAGTTTTTACTAGTTTTGTGTTCAATAACTTTTTCTGCTAGTTTTCTCTTCTTCTCATAATCTGATTGGGTTAGTCTTCCATTGGAAAGTAGTCCTACTATTTGTAATTAAAAGGAAAAATTCTGTAGAATAGAAAAAATAATAATTTTTGGGTGCACAAGGACAAATAAGTATTAAAAATGTCCTTTTAAAATTTTATCCTTGAATATCCTTGCAAATTTCCAATATTTATTTTTGAAAAATATATATGTCAAGGACTAATATATTAACTACCACATCCTCGAATTTCCTCCTTCTAACTTTATTTTTTTTTAATTAAAAAAAATTTACACTTCTCTTTATAAGATATTGATAGTTACAATGTACATAAATGAAGACACTGGAATCATTATTATGGAACCATTTATGCGCTCTAAAAGACTGCTTTGTATACAAGGGCGTAGCCAGTCTTTCATCTACGGGGCAGGAGTTTATATAGAGGAAAAAAATATTTTTCATTATATTTGGGTTTA